CGCTGCGCCACCAGGGAGGGCCTCCCCTTCAGTTTTACAGTTGTTTATTTTGGAGGGGGAGAGGAGGACATAGGCCTGGTCACAGGAAAAGGCCCTGTTTTTGCCTAACAGCCTGTAATTAGAATGGAAAGAATCTAGGGAAATGTTGATGGTTATAGAGGGTAGTGAGCGTGGCGTGTGTGTGGGGCTCTCTCTTAATCGGGGTGGAAAGCTGGACGTTCTCTTGACCTTTCCTCTCTTCATGTCTCCCTCTCTGTCTCGTCTGTTGGCCCACGTTCTGTACAGATAGGAAGGGTAGGTGGAGGGAATAGCACTTGTGGAGATCCTGCTGTGGCCTACACCTTAGGTCAAGGCTTGCTGTGACGTGCTTTATCACATTTGACTTTGCAGTAGTTATGTGAGGCAGACAACATTCATCCAAGCAGAAAGAAAACTGAGGCACAGAGGATTGGGGGGGCTTGCCCTTGCCAGGGACAGAACAGGGCCTGGTCTGGCAGTGGGGCTCCTGTGAGTGAGCATCCGTGTTCGCAGGCTCTCCATTGTGACATGATTCAGTTAGCATCGGGAGTCATTAAAAACAGAAGCACACATGTTGTCGGGAGTGAATTTTATCTCTGTTGCTTTAAAAGCACAAGCAAAAATAATAATTCCATTAGTAGAGGAAAATTGCACCATACTGTTGAATATAAATTTTATTGCTACAGTAACTGTAAAATACAAAGATGATAAATGAAAAGTTGGAACATTTGTTATTGGGGATACATTTTATTGGTATAACTAAAACACAAACAAAACCGAATAAACTAGTACTTGTTCAAAATTGCAGTCAGCGTCTTACGTGTTTGTGAGTGATGGTCAAGACACACAGGCTGGGTCTGGCTTGGCAGGAGGGAGACTGTGGTCGCTGGGCGTGGAGGGGTGAGGGGGGCGTGGAGAGTGAGCCTTTGCTCAAGGCGACCATCAAGCCTGCAGCTACACCCCGTGCTGCTTCGTGGGTGAGCCACGGAGCTCCTGTGGCCAGGCTGGGGAAGGAGCGCTCTCTGGCCCAGCCTCCCTCCATTCGGATAGAACGCCGCTTGAGTGGTGTAATAGTTGCGAATCACTGACTTGCAGACAGTTCCGGTGGGCAGCTGAGGGGTGGGGGCTGGGGTCTTTTCTTGGCATTAATCAGGAAGGGGCTGGGGCGCCCTGGTGATCGGTTCTCAGGCCAGCCAGAGTGGAGTGAGGCCTCTCAGTGCTCAGCTCCCGAGGAAGAGGCGCCTGCTGCGGCCCCAGGAGTGTCAGCTCCTTCATTCTGAGAGGTCTCATCTCATTTCTCAAATGAGGAAACGGAGGTGTGAGGGGTAGTTTACCCAGCCACATTGCAGACATAATAGAGATGGGGTTTGGAAGCAGCCCTGTACAGCTCAGGCCCACGATCTTTCTCTCCAGTTGTTCACAGTGAATTCCTTTAAATGACATCATGACGCTGGGCCTTCTGAAAGCTTGTTGGTGAGAGGAAGATAGATATGAATTAAGTCTTTATTTGCAGACAACTCATGTTGGCGGCTTGGACGACAAGAGCGGCCCTCTTGACGTTCTGTTTTTCTCAGTCACAAACTCACATGGCCTGTGCATGTGAGTGTCTGAGTGTCACATCGCGTGGCTCTTTGCTGGGAACTTTTTCTGGGCTGGGGGGCTGGTGAATAGGGTTGTTCCATTGCAATTTCTCTGAGAAACCAGCTTTAGGTGGAGCTATTTCCTTTGTTATTCTGCCTTCTAGAAACCCTCTATCATTTTAGAAATCTGAGGAGAACCGCTGCACACGTCACACACTTCTGTCTGCCACTGCTTTTCTTTTGGGGAGAGTCAGAGTGAGGCGTCTGTGGGTGTGGTCCCATGTGCCCTTCCCACCGCTCCGAGGAGCAGGGCTGTGCTGCTGCACGCCACGTGGGAGGGACACCGAGCCTGGCCACGTGTGCTCTCTGCTCCTCAAGCCCTACGTGGTAGCCAGAGCACAAGCCACTAGCACGACCCTCCACCACCCTCCCTGGCCGCGAGTGAAGCAGCCAACCCCCTGACGTGTGTGTCTTGCTTCCTGCACGTGGCTGGCAGGCCAGCGCTCCACCCCCTGGCTGCTGGTGCCGTGTTTCTCTGAGTCCTGCTGGGGAACTTGGCAAGTTATTGAAAGTCTCAAGACTGTGCTCATCTCTTTCCCTTTCTAGGAATTGATCCTAAGGAAATCACCGGTCGGTATACGTGTGGGGTGCTCTAACCTTGCTTGTAGTAATAAGCTGTAGCACTAACGTTGTATATTAACTTTGTACTGGGTGCTGCTCTCAGAACTTTGTGAGTATTACACGGATGCGGAGGTCAGAAACAATGAGATGTTTTAAAAATAGGAGCTCAATTTAATATATTACAGTACCTTTCATATAGTGACTTAATAGGTTGCCTTTAAAAATGGTAGAGATTTGGCCCTCCCTGGTGGCGCAGCGGGTTAAAGCACAGCACTGAGAATCTAAAACCACTTCCGCATGAGTTCGATTCTCACCTGTCCCGGAGGCGACCACATGGCGTGGCAGACCTCTCCTGACCCGCCTGCTGCTCCCCTCAGCAGTGTACTTTGTCAGTCTGCCTGTTCTGCTCCCCACTCTGTCTCTGGTGAAGCCTCTCACCGCCCCTGAGTCTCTGGTCTGTACCCCAGTTCAGTATGCACAAATAAATAAATCTTTAAAAAAAAAAAGGTAGAGATTTGTATTTATTCACAAAAAACGATGTTTATAGTATGTTAAGTACTGAAATAAGACAATAGATACGTACGGTATGGCTTTTTGTAAAACAGCTGAAAAGCTCTATACTAAAATGTTAAAAGCTCTATACTAAAATGTTCTCCTGGGTGATGAGATTATAGAAGATTCTTATCTTTTTCTTATCTAGACTTTGAATGGACATTACATACCTGTATATGTACACACACACATATAACTGACACAACACATTTTGTAAGTTTAAGGTATGCAGCATGTTGATTTCATGCATTTATATATTATACTCTGTTTTAAATTACAAATGTTAATTGACAAAAAGAAGCTCAGCACGGGTCTGTGGGGGCAAATGACTAACACATATTCCTTGTCTCTTTGGGGCTACTGAAGTCACCTTGTGTTCCTTGAATGCCTTTCACACATTTGCATCTTTTTGCAGCAAAGCCGTCGAGAGCCTCGCTGAAGGAGGAGGCTCTGAGATCCAGCGGGTGAAAGAGGATGCCCAGAAGAAGGTACAGCAGGTTGAAGATGTACTGAACAGAAGAATAATCCTTTTAGAAGAGGCAAGTGTGGAAACCCTGAGGGGAATGTATTTCTTTTTTTGTAAGATCTGTTTATTTATTTATGCATGCAGAACTCAGAACAAGGGTGTAGGCCAGAGGTGTGGGGGGTGAGAGGATTCACCAGAGACAGAGTGGGGAGTGGAACCGACAGATGGACCGAGGGGAGCAGTGGGCGGGTCAGGCGAGGTCTGCTGTGCCGGGTGGGTCAGCCCTCTGGAGGGGATTGAGCTTGTGCTGCAGTAGTTGCAGACAACTTCATAGTGCTGTGCTTAACCCATTAAGCCACCAGGGTGGGCCCAGGATAATGTATTTCTTAAGTGTTTAATCCTGGAATGGGATTATAAACTGTTGATTTTTATTTTTCTCTTTTAAAAATTATAATAGTTTATTTTTACCTATTTTTTCCCTATCTCAATTGCAATCCTCTTGGGTTTCCCATCACCAAATCACCCGTGTGCCATCACCACAGAAGTCCCGTGCATTTCCCTCCCCCCACTGCTGACACTTTTTCATCAGAAACAAGTCACCTGAGCATCCCCAGGTCCTGCAGTGGCCAAGACACTTCACATACTTGATTCGCACCTTTGCACCCTGCAGACTGGCCGCGTTGTCTCTGTTTCCGCTGACGAGGACTCCAGGACAGGAAGTCTAACTAGTTCAAGTTTTATCCTGGGTTAAGACTTCTAACTGCTGACTTTAAGCTTATATTCCTGATATAACACCACCCTCCTCATTACCTTGTTTACCTCCTTAGTTTATGGAGAAGGAAATTGAGGCCCAGAGAGGGTAAGTGACTCACCTAACATTAGCTAAGCCTATAGCCAGATTTTGTACCTCGTAGATTATTGTTCCATCTGTCCACCCCACTAGGCCTCCACCCCTCCGTCCCATCATCTCTCTGTCCCGTCTTCCCTCATTCATTGAATGCTTTCGCTAGGGAGGCACTGCGTGTAGCTCTTCCTTCTACTAGTCCCATCAAGGTTTGTCCTGTGACTGTGATGGGAATCAGGATATTGCTTGGCTAAGCATCCCTTCCCCCAGATGTTAAGTTTTCCTCCCCAGGCCCTCCCTGGTGGCTCAGTGGGTTAAAACATAGTACGATGAAGCTAGCAGCAGGTGCGTCAGCATGAGTTTGATGCCCCGCCTGGCCAGGCCTGGCCAGGGAGGTGACCTACATGGCGTGGCAGACCTCTCCTGACCCGCCCACTGCTTCCCTCAGCAGTGTGCTTCGTCGATCTGCCTGTCCTGCTCCCCACTCTGTCTCTGGTGAAGCCTCTCACCGCCCCTCCTGCTCAGGCCTGTGCCCCAGTTCTGTACGCATAAATAAATAAATCTTTGAAAAAAAAATTTTTTTCCTCCCCAAGCAAATAAGTGGGAGGGTGGGGTTTTGAACATAGCTGGGCTTGACTTTTAGCTGTGGGAGCTGGGAGAGTCATTGGCGATTCCTGTCTACTCCTAGGTTAGGTTGTGATCACTAGGGCTTTTTCCCTGACAGACATTGCCTGCATGATTTAGATAATTTCCTTGTTGACGTTTTTGAGCTCTCAAGAAGAACATAGAATTTTTACCACCTAAATCACCTCGGAGAAACAGAGAATGTATTTTAGAATGGTGTAGTCATTATCTTAAAAAATATGGTGAGGGAGCCCTGGGGTGTGGGATGAATTTGTATGGAGATTATGGTGACTCTTTGGGATTAATGTATGTTTAGGTTTTGAGAGGCACATTTCTCCTTGTTCTCATTGAAGCTGTAAATATTGATCTGATTTTTCAAAACCAAAAATACAGTTCTTGTAAAGTTAAGTCTTTTCCATTGGAAATGCCCATTACTCTTCAGGATACAAGAGGGGAAAATGGCTGGCAAATGTATTTATTACTGATTCTCCCCATGTATTGCACAATTCAGGAAGGGGAAATGTACTGAAGAAAAAGTCATAAATATTTATATTTTAATCCAATTTCCTTTCAAAATGTTCCCAATTGTATTGAAAAATTGCATCAAATGCATTTAATTTCACTCTAGGATGTGAAAGCCGCCCAAGCAGAACTGGAAAAGGCCTTTGCGGGGACAGAAACAGAGATGGCTCGTCGGTTGAGCTTGGAGAACAAGCTCTCAGAGATGAAGAGGAGGCACGAGCAGGGCCCGGGGATGGCTGTGGTCCTGGGAGAGAAGGACAGGTCTGGCTCTGCCTGGGATCCTCGGCCTTGCGTTCCTGGGGCAGGGGACGCGTCACCCCTCCCTTCCCTGCTCCCTCTCTCCTCTCCCTCAAATTTAAAAGAAGAGGGCGGGACAGTGATATGAGGACAGAGATAACAGTTGGTAGCTAGAAATTCACGCTCAGAAATATCACTCAGATATTAAACTTAGTATTCCGCTTGTGTAGTTAACTGGTTATCAAAGGGAAAAGCGTCTTGGTGAACATTAAGATTCACCTTACTCACAAGATCAAACAAGCTAGTCAGTCAGGAGGGGCGACACTGTCAGAGAGAAATTTCTCTCAGGATCTTCCCAAAGGTAACCACCAGGGACGACTTCCCCCAGTAAATACCGGTGAGTTTGTCCTTCACCTCTCTCACGTCAAGGGCCCAAGCTAGTAGAGTGCAAGGGGCCAAAATTGTATTAGCACAGTATTTGTAGACCTGGCGAGAGCTCACGGATGGCCCTTGAATGAAATGTGTGCCAGCTGAGCCAGAGAACGGGATGGGCTGTGGTTTCTTTAGTGCTTGTCCTCTCTTAAAACCAAACTTTTGATTAAAGCTGCTCAGGAGAGAGTTGAGGTTTTGTTTTTTCCCTTGGACCTTATAGTTTAATACTTTTGCCTTGCTTTGGCAGTCACCAAGGTGGGGTGATTAATGTAGTAAAGTCTGTGGTTAGCCTGTGACCTACCCATTGAAGAGCCGAACTTCTGGAATTTGATAGAAATTATTCTAAAGCAAAAACAGAGATTGCTGACTGCTTTTCTTTTCCTGCCCCAGTGTGCCCGCACTGACGGCCATGACACTACTTAGGCTGCTCTGCCCAGCTGCCTGGCTCTCCACCAGCTGTCGGCTTTATTTCTGCCCCCAGACTGCCTTTACATTACAGATTGGCAAATGAGAAGAGCGACGTTCTAGGGCTGCTTGTAAAAGAGGGATGAACAGACTGAGGGAGCAATCCTGGCCTCCATCTTGCAGTGCTCGGGTGTCTGCCTTTGGCGGAGCTAGCATTTGTTTTTCACCACAACAACGACGCAGCCTTTCCTTAACTGTGATCTAGAGAAACAGCGAGTTTGGGGATCTCAGGGTGAGTCAGGAAATGGTTTTCCTCCTTCAACGGATTATGTGATGATTTCAGAATTTAACCCCTAGAGGGCAGTGTGACTCTTCGTGCCAAGTTTTGAGGGCATTGCATTGGTGTAGCCTGGTACCGTCTATCCACTTGTCTTAGTCCACTTGGGGTGCCATAGAGTGGGTGGCTTAGAAACAGCAGAAATTTACTGCGTTTCTCACCGTTGGGGAGGCCAGAAGTCTGAGATGTAGGTATCAGCATGGTTGGGTGAGGGGCCTCTTCCCTGTCAGATTTCTTCCTGAATGCTCGCATGCTGGAGGGGGTGAGAGATGTCCCTCAGCCTCATTTGTGAGGCATTGCTCCCTTTCCTGGGTTTTACTCATGACCAAATCACCTGACAAAGACTCAGCTTCCTAATACCATTAGTCTTGGGCTTAGGATCCCAACATAGAAATTTGGGGGAGGGAGGGAGCCGCCGATATTCGGCTGGGGAAACTCAGACTTCTAAGCCTTTGCTCTTTCTACCATTATAGTTGCTTTTAAGTTATAGAAAGGCACTTCTGAGGGGTCCTCTATGTCTGACAAAATACTGACTGCTTAAAAAAGTAGTAATTGTAACAACTGTCATTTGTGGAGTTCTGCAGAGCTTTGTAGGGCCATTTTAATACACTCATCTCCATTCCACATGAGCAAGCTCTCCTCGTCTTGTAGATGAGGAGATGCAGGCTTCTAGCATTTAAAAGACTTGGCCACGTCAGGGAGCAGTTGATATGTAGCATCTCTTGGTGGCCCCGAGATGGATGCGTCAGCTCTACCTGATGAGAGCCCACAGGTGTGTGCTGGCAGGGCTTCTGTGAGGAAGGTAATCTCACTGACTCTTGCAGGATGAATGGGCATGCATCAGGTGCAGGTGGAGGATGTGAAGGTCATTCCAGGTAGAGAGAACAGTGTGAGCAAAGCGTTAGAGGCACAGAACAGCCTGGCTTCTGGAGAGAACTGGGAGTGAGGGTGATGGTTTCCTGTGAGAGATGAAGCTGGAGCTGTCAGCAGCCACCTCTGATCTTTGAGGCCCTGACACTAGGACCTTAAATGCCTTGCTGAGGAGTTTGGCCTTTTCTGGAAAGTCAGTATCTTTTTAACTTGGTCCCGAGGAGGCCTGAAGGGACAGTCTTTGTTTTTTCACACTCGGGAAACAGCTCTGTGCTATTGCCTATGTTAATATACTTAGGCTGAATTTCTTGGCCAGAAAAAATTAGGAACGTGGTTGGTGGGGACCACGGAATGTCTTTGCGCGGGGTGTGACCTGATCACACGGAGGTCTGGCGTCTCAGAGGGAGGATCAAATGGCCAAAGCTGGAGGTGAGAGGGCAGTGAGTGGCCTGTAATCTCCAACCTGCAAAGTGAAATTCCATTTCCATCAGCCATCGCATGTGTCTCCTTTGGAGATGTCTGGCCCCGTTTCCTAACTCCTCCTGCTCCACTGAGCTAAGAGAACAGCTTAGAATTAATATTTACGTTTTGTTCTCTTTTAGACTGATTGAGGAGCTGAAGCTATCTTTGAAGAGCAAAGAAGCTTTAATTCAGTGCCTTCAAGAGGGGAAATCTCAGATGGCGTCTCCTGATGAGAACGTGTCACCTGGAGAGCTCCGAGGACTTTCTGCTGCTCAGAGGGAAGAAAAGGAGAGAGAAGCTGAGGTGAGCTAACAGGACTTGAAGGCGGGCTTTAATGAGCAGACCAGACTCCTCCCTAGGAGTGGGGTGCGCATTCAGTCCCGCGGTTCCCGCACAGTCTGTGTCTCATCCTTTGCTCCCTGTCAGCTGAGGAATTAGCACAGATCTCCTTTGCCAGGGACTTGGTGTTTTTCATTTCCTTCCAACGTCGTGCTTATATAAAGAGTTGAGTAGAAAGACAACCCCTACCTGCTTGTCTCTGTCTGCCCATATCTTAACTTGTTATTGCCTAGGGACTTAATTTTCACGGTTTGGGTTTTCTGAATAAAATAAGTATGTCCCACAATTTTATCCTTGTGATTGGAAGCAGGCTTGAGGCCACTTTTGGCCAGAGATTTCCAAGGCGGTTACCTCAACTGGATCCGGCGGTCTGCAAAGGGCACCACACACCACCTCATTTAACCCGAGTGTGGTCCTGTGTTGCGTTTCGATAATGCTCCGAGAGCGGGGGATGCGTGCCAGACCCTTGTCTCCCTGGGCCCCCTCCACGCTAGGCCAGCTACTTTGAAGGCAGTGGGGGTGGGACCTGGAAGTAAGTGCAGGTGGGTCTAGGTGAGACCTTCACTTCTTGTGTGGTACTTTGGCATGTGGAGGCTCTGGGAGCCCTGGGGCGCTTGGGATTTTTATGGAGCAGGACCTCTCTCAGAGTGGTGAATTCTGCATCCCCTGCTTTGACCCCGTTTTCTCACTACTGGGGCCCTGTCCTTTTAGCATGGCTTTTCCATATTCAGTGTGGCTTGTTCTCTTGGGGGCTGGTGATGCCACAGCATGAGTTGCTGTCTTTATGTTTTTCACCACTTGGGTGGAGCTTTGGGAGAGAAGGAGTGAACACTGTCTTCATGAGCTCCACGGCAGTAAGGAAAAGTAAGTCAAGGAGGCGTTCACTCCATTGTCCTGGGAGACTACTGGGCGGTGGGGCCCTTCTGGGCACCAATGAATGCCTTTTCCCAGGTCGCACATGAGGAGTGCCAGAAGGAGAGAAATCGCTTTGAAGAGAGGATCCAGGTATGTTACTACAATTTCAGATTGATTGAAGAATCATCCTTGCCTCTTGCTTTATTCTGAGAGCAAAAATAGCTCTGTGTGACAATAGCTGTCATGCATTGAATGTGACGGCAGCCAGTCAAGCCCCGGGCAGCGTAGAGGGTTTCTCAGTCTTGCAGTCACTGAAGTAGGCACCCCCGTTTTGCAGCTGTGGCATTGCAGTCTCAGAAAGGTGAGTCCCTTAGCCAAGATCATGTAGCTTGGGAGAGGTCCTGAGCCATTGCCCTGTGGTGCCCAGTCAAAGCAGCGGGCATTTGTTCATGCCTGCCCGCTTATGTAGCAAATGCCTTCAGCGCCATTGTCTTGATTGAGCCTCACAACAGCCTGGGGGGGTGGGTTGGGGGGCAGTGATTATCTTTGGAAATGAACTCAGACTCTAAATGTATATGTTCAGGCTCCATCAAGCCAAATTCGCTGCTAGCTTTTGTAGCATTAAGGAATGAAATTAATGATCTCTTATTTCCCCCAAATAACCCGGTACGATTTCAGAGTCTGATGTGACTATACTCAAATTCCAAAAGGCATTGGAGTCCTTCCCGTAGGAATAGCTGTCATCATCTTAACTGATCTGATCCCTTTCCTTTCACCCAGCCCCATTGCCGTGAGCGGTAACACAGCAACTTGGAGCTGATGCCTCTACGTTCGGCTCTACTTGGAAACATTAATCACAGGGTGACAGGAATAAGATAGAATAACTGCATTTGAGTGTGCTCTTAAAGATATATTTACAGTGCATTTTGGTTGGAACGCATCAACTTAGTGAATCTTTTTCTAATCTAATTTAGGCCCTTCAGGAGGACCTGAGAGAGAAGGAAAGAGAAATTGCTACAGAAAAGAAAAATAGCTTAAAGAGGGATAAAGCTATTCAGGGTCTAACCATGGCATTAAAGTCAAAGGAAAAAGAGGTATGTCTGATAGAGCTGAAGCGAGATTTTTCTTTATTAACTTCTGTGATTGGCCTGTTCTACCCTGAATCTTCAGCTTTAGTGAAAAATTCATGAGAGAGCTGTGATGAGTGTAGACAGCGGAGAAAGGGCCTGTTAGTCAATTGGAAATTGTTTGGGAGTGTCTGACCCAGTGCTGCTTAATAAAAATATGACTTATATCTGCAATTCAAAATTTTCTAGTGGTCACATTAGAAGAAGTAAAAAGAAATTAAGTGCCATTAACTTTAATCATAGATCCGTGCCACGTTACCCTTTCACGTGACCAGTAAGACAAAGGAAATGCTGAAGTATTTAGCACGAAAAACAAAACCAAACCCTGACTGTCTTTGAAGCTCAGCTGTGCTTAGAGCACATCAGATGAGCCACTTTCAGATGCTTCATGGCCACACGGTTCATGGCTACCGTACCAGGCAGTGTGCGTCTAACCTTTCGAAAGACAACAGCAAGTAGAGATGGAGTTTGGGGAGGTGAGCCCCCGACTATACAGCAGCTTGATGACTCCCGGCTTCGCTGTCTTTGGAGCCAAGGCTGTGGTTGAGGGTTCCCTGTTTTCTGGCCAGAGGTACAGCCGTCTGTTGAGTCTCTAGCAGCGAGGCTTGGAGTCAGGGAGGAAAGGCCAGGCGTGTGGACCCAGGGCAGTCCAGGGGGCTTTGGATGACCCCTAATGTTGTGTTGGGGAGTAGTGGTTTCCTCATTTTAGAATTGAGTCTCTAGGAGATAAAGTACCGTGCCTGAAGTCATCCAGCTTCTAAATAGCCAAACTAGAAATCCCATTTTCCCAACTTCGGGTTTTTCGGAGTACAAAACCCTTGATTCTAAGCATTGCAGCAGGAAAAGCGGAGGGGGGCTGTGCAGAGGCAAGCCCAGCCGCCCCTTGGCTGAGAGTCCTTCCCTTTGCCCAGGTGGGAGAACTTAACTCTGAAGTCAAAGAGCTCCATGCTGCCTTTGCTAAAGCCAGAGAGGCCCCGGAGAAAGCACAGGCCCAGAAATTCCAGGTAAGTGGCCGTTCTCTTTGATCCTTACTCGGCGAGGTCAGGCCTTTGCAGCCGAAAGGAAAACCGAGTGGCTTTGGGCCTAGAATGAACTCAGTCTAACTATGGGCAGTACCCCTCCAGCCCTGGGCGCTTCTTCAGCCCCCTCCTCCATGTGATAATGACAGTGGTAACAGGTATCCACCCTGCTTGGAGTGCCGAGGTAACTGCCAGGATAGACGGTGCAGGATGTGTGGATCTTCTCAGGGAATCTTCACAACCCTGTGGGGAAGGTAATTATCATCTCCTTGTATGGTGGGGCTCTTGAGGCTCAGCAAGGGTGTGCAGCCTCGTCACACTCACATAGCAAGTGGCAGGCCAGGATTTAAATGTAGTAATTGCTAATAGTAACAGCTGGCACTTACTGAACACATACTGTGTGCCGAGCCCTGTGCTAAGCCCACTCTACGCATTATCTTAATTAACCTAGACAACCACTCCGTGAAGCAGGTATTATTCATATCCTTGCACTGCCGAGGGAATCTAGGGCTAGGGATCACGTAACTTACGCAGGGTCACATAAGCCTGGGCTTTGACCTGTCACCTCATGCCTCCTCTCACCCGGCGTCTTCTGTTCCTTTAGCTCCCTGCAGGCTTCTGGCCCTGGCCTTGATGGTTTCTTCTCTTCTGCTTCCCCCCCATGCCCCAGTTGTATTGCAAGGACTCCTGCTGGTCACCTCCTTGATCTTTCCTCTCTTGCTAATTTGAGTTCTGTGTTTTTAATTGTTCCGACATGTTCTTCCCCTGTGTCTCGTTTCCCTGTACCGTGAGTACTTCCTACCACTGACTCAATGCGTCAGTGAAATTCCTTCATCTGAGTTAAGTCCATGCTGTCGAAAGCTCTCCCCTCCCACCACCTCTCCTGCCAAGTTGTTTTGGTGACAAGGTAGAAGTTAGAAGTTAAATCTGACGCAGGTATTTGATTCCTAAGATTCATATCCTATGCCTTACGCTCTGCAGAACTTTGGTTAACAATAATAATTGAAGAAATTTGGTTTCAGTGGTGGGGCTTAGTTGCTGAGACCAGTCTCTGCTTTTGGACCCTCAGGCCTGCCTTCCCTGCCGTTTGACAGTGGCTGATGAAGTGGAACTGAGGTGATACTTCACACTGAGCAGTTTTTTTCCTTCCTAAGAAAATAACAAGCCTGAAAGGGTGAATTCTTAGAAAAATCACCCCCACTCCCCATTCTTTTGGCAATTAACAGAAAGACCAGACCTCCTGGCAAGTGTTGTGAATCTTACTTGTTATATTGGACCTTGAAGGGAAGAAGGGAGTAGAAGTGGACCCAGACTTACTGTGCACATTTATTAATTTTCATAGCACTCAGTCCTATTGCAGGATTTTCAGATGATCTTCGAGATCTTGGCATACACGGTATTGCCTGGGTTTCTGGTCCCACAATGTACAGAGGTCAGGTGCTGGTGAGACACTGCATTTCCGAACGTCAGGCCGGCTGCTCAGAGCTCGCGTCACAGCAGCCAGGAAGTAGAAGAGAAAGCCTCCTCAAAGAAGTAACTTCTCCAAGTTACTCAGCCAGACGTGGGGTTTGAGCTCTGGGCCTTTTGACTTGAGAGCTCTGTTAAACTCATCAAGCACTTAAATACACTGGGGAAGCATGCTTTGTTTAAGATTAGATTTGACCTCCAGTTTCTGACCTCTGTCTAATTGGGCCAAATGTTAGTTACCTACCTGAGAGAGCAAATTCAGATAGCAGGGTGTCCTGTAGAAAGAGGTAAAAAACAAACAAACTCCCTAAAGGAGCTTAGAGGTTTTTCTAAAATCTCTAAAGGAGTTTTTCAAAGAACCATGCAAGGAAAATTGAAGCTGGAAAGTATTTTTATAAAGCAAATAGACTGTATGATTTTGAATTCTTTGAGCTTGGATTTTTAAGGAGGCTTCATCATCTATTTATGTGATAATCCTGCAGAACTTTCATCACTTTATAATATCATTTCATAATAACCATTGCTGTCCTGTGTTTAATGAGGTCCTAACTGGTGTTCCTGTCTGTAGCCTTCCAAGCTCTTCCTTGACTTCCCTCCTCTTATTTTGATTCTTACTGGTTTATTGGTTTAATTGGAATCGTCACTGCATGGTGGTTCTGTGCTTTGGGATGAACAAAGGCGCTGGAAGCATTTGAATCCCAGATTTAATCCCTGATGGTCTGATGACAGCCTGGTCATCTCGCAGTTCTGCATCTTGGTTATTTAAATACTCCGAAGGTCTGGTTGGAGAAATAGAGATAGAAGGTGTCTAAAAGCTCTTGAGTTAGCGCCTCATAGACTGTCAGTGCTCAATAGAAGATAGTGATGAAAAGTGTTCCAGACCATCATTTTCTCAATTGTTGCTTCTCTTTGGTTTCTTGAGTTTAAGTTAGCATGGCCTCAGATCAGTTTGTTTCCTCCTGTGCCTTGCCACCTAGGCTTCCCACTTTTTATTTTTAAAAATTTTAATGGGGACTAAAACAGAAGCTTCTAGAAAATCTACTTTGAAGTTGGACCAGCGTGCACCCTCCGTCTGTGCTGCTGTGTCCTGAATAACAGTTGGAGGAACATGGGGCCAGGTGGCTGGGCGCGGGTGGTCCAGCTCAGCAGATTTCCTCCAGAATGCACGTGCCTGTTGCTTGCCCCAGCTCGACAGCTGAGTTGACCACCCGAAGAACTTTGACAGAACTGGCGATGGTGACAGAGATGGATTTCCTGGAAAGGCCAAGAAGCTAGGCCAGTTGTTTTATTCCACAGACTTGGTGTGACCTTGGCAACTCAGATGTCCTTTACCTTTGGATTTTGAGCCTACTCTCTTCCAAAGGACACCCTCAAAAAGTGTATTTCCCCCTGAATCTAGCAGATGTTATATATGTGTGTATGTTTATATTCTCCTGAATATATGTACTTTAATTTTTCTTTAAGAAAATATTTATTTTACACAGTCGGAGCCTCCCTCCTTACAATAGCATCACAGCATAAACATTACTTTGTGTCATTTCAGAATCTTCCCTTTATGTGTGCTTCGGGTCTTGAATGTTTCTTTGGTATTTTGCTTTCAACTTCCCCAGCAAGATGAAAAAGGATCACCGATTTTTTTGTTTGTTCAGTGAGCTCTGAAAACCAACGCCTCTTCCTTTTCTCCCTCCTCTTTCAGGGGTCTGAAGATTATGAAGCTGCTCTGTTAGAAAAGGCAAACCTTCTGGCTGAGCTGCGCTCAGAAAACTTCACCAAGAATGCGGAAAACCACAAGCTGCGGAGGCATGTGAAGAAGGTCACCCAGGAGCTGAGCGACTTGCAGCAGGAGAGGGAGAGACTGGGGAAGGACCTGGAGGCGGCCCTGGGAGAGAAGCGCCAAGCAGACGGCCTTGTCCACGTGAGCACAGTCCCGGAGCTGTGGGCAGGCAGTGGGCCCGGGACTCTGCTGTCTGAGGTTTGGGGAAGGGATTCGCTCTAGGAAACTTAGAAAAATCCACAAAATATAAGGAAGACACTGCTTTTCTCATTATCTTATTATCACACAGAAAAGACTGGTCTTAACTATTTGGTAATTTGGTTCTCCCCCTGTGTCTGCCTGCCTGCCTGCCTGTCTCTCTTTCTCAGGGATAATTGGTCTCAAACTGATACCGGTATCAGGATGTAGTTTTGTATCCTGCATTTTAAATTCAGTGTTCTTCTTTGGTGTGTTGCTGTGTTGTAAATGTTCTGCAAAATGATGATTATCTTGGGTGTCTGTATCCTGTTTCATCACTTGAATGCACTTCACTTAACCAGTCTCTTATTGTAGGACATTTAGGTGGTTTTCACCCCCCCCATCCCCTTATAATGAATACCGCGGCAACAACCTTTTAGATAAATATTTACCCACTGATTATTCCTGATGGAGGTAAAAATTTCTTAATCAAAGGTGATGGCTATCTCTATGGCTATTTTATCAGTGCACTCAAATTGTTCTCCAGAAACATTATACCTGGCTTCCCTACATGAGAGTTATCTTATTTTAAGACTATTAAGCATTGGGTATTAGCATTTAAAAGATTTTCTCTGACTTGATTGGCAAAAGATAGTCTCTCTTTTAGATTTTACAGTGCATTTGAACGTAAGTGTTCGGTGTCTTGAGAAGTGCACAGATCGCAGCCTGGGCATGATCAGGCACCAGGGGGTGAGGCTGGGAGGGCTGGCGGGTGCTCAGAGGCTCAGAGGCTGCCTTGGTTACCTACAAGGACCTGGGCCCGCAGGGTGCAGAGTAGAGAAGTGAGTCCTTAGGGCCAGAGGCTGGGTCTGTGAGGGTTGCTTTTCACAGGGTGAAATGTGGACTCTACACCAAGAAAGCCCCAGCCAGTACCCGTAGTTTGAAATCCTAATGCTGACACTGGTAAGAGAACTGAAATGCACATGCTTGTATATTTTAGCCCAGACCTTAACAAACATTAAGAGAGCAACAGTAAAATTTAGGAAAGTAAGGAAAGCAGACATTGCCCTCAATAATTCACCACCTCAGGCGGGACGTCCTTCTGTCTTTCCGCATCAGCCTTCCAGTCTGGCGCAGCTGGGCTTCTGTGTCTCACGCCCAGAATGGTCCTGCGATCTCTGACCTCTTGCTCTGTCTGACCAGGTTGTGCAGGCCCCGGAGGGGTGTGCCAAATGTTGCATACTCTGCAGCCGCTAGGCCTCACAGGCCTAGATTTCCTCCCGTTAGATGTTTTGTCTGGTTAGTGCCGTAAAGGACATCTTTGGGCATAGAGGTGTCCCTCTTGCAACCCGGGGTCAGATGCTAAGGAGTGAGATTATTGGCTCAGAAGGGGCAAGGATTTTATAGTAGTTATCATGCTGCCAAATTACTTGTTAAATGGACTGGCCCAACTTGTACCATCACCGATAGTTATTGGGGTTACACATTGTTACCTGTTATTTATAGGCCAGTTTCCCATACTTATTCAATATTATTGAATACCGGGCATGCCTGGTTTAGATTCTAATAGAAATGCAAGGCATGATCCCTGAGTGTTTTATTTTGCCTAAAAGATGAAAAAATTATATATGATAAAATACAAAAATTAAAATCCAGAGCAAATGTGCAATTTGCATCATGCAAAAAGATCGTTGTGGATGGAGTGGTCGTGGAAACCTTCTAGGAAGAGATGCCCCTTCAGTTGAAAGAGAAGAGTGAGGCTCGAGTAGTGGGCCTTTATGGCTGCGGTAAGCAAAGACTGGCCAGCGGGTCCTTGCTCAGGGGTGCAGTTTCCATAGCTACTTGTCATACCCTCCCCTGTTGAATTCTTAAAATTTGAAATAATTTGTCCCCTCCAACTTCACAGTCAAGCAAGTGATATTCATTCAGTTGGTGGGGTGGATAGGCGGGAACACACCCACACACCCACACACACACAACACACACCTGTACTATATACGTCTAGAATATGTAATTAGGAATTAGAACTTCTCTCGGTGGCATTAATGTGTCTGCACAACAGCCCATCATGGCGGTGCTCAGAGTTGCTTACTTCTTCCTTTGTTGTTGCACGTCGCTGGCCTCGTAATTCCCTTCTACAGGTGGACCTGGGGCTAAAACAATTTTGGGTGACTGTTGTTAAAGAGATACATTCCTGTGTGATATGGACGCATCTTCATAAGGAGGCAGAGCGTGTCTGGCAAGGAATGGAGGGGAGATGTGGTGGTGGGAGGAGGGTTTGGGTGGGGCGTACTATGGGTGGCATTTTTGGCCGGGGGCAGTAACCTGGTCTGAACTGACGTGGGCAGAAGGGGCATGTATCGCCCGTGTCACTAAACCGCTACAAGGCCGGGTACTGGGAACTCTGCCAGGAGCCAGCCTCTGTCCTCTGAAAGCCAGCCCCTCCTCTTGTTGCCACGTCCTTCAGTGCCCTTCCAGGTGTTTGGCCCCTCACTGCACCCCACGGGGTCCCTTCCTCCCAATTTATTACTGGAGGAAGGAGGCTCTCCACGCACCTGCCCTGCTGACGCCTGTCAGCGTGGCCGAGGGTGAGGTCCTTGGGGCTCAGCTGACGTCCATGCCTGTTCTTTGACACCCATGTGTGTGCCATGTGTGTAGTCTGGGAGCTTCCTCTGTGTCCTATATCCATGTGTTTGTAGAGGGTTCAGCAGTTATCAGAGAAAGTGATGGTTTTTCTTCTTTTTAAAAGATTTATTTATTTGTGCATACAGAACTGGGGTACAGGCCAGAGGTGCAGGGGCAGTGAGAGGTTTCACCAGAGACAGAGCGGGGAGCAGAACAGGCTGACTGAGGAAGTACACTGCTGAGGGGAGCAGCGGGCGGGTCAGGAGAGGTCTGCTGCGCCATGTGGGTCACCTCAGAAGCAGGGATTGAACTCATCCGCTGCCACCAGGGAGGGCCGAAAGTGCTGTTTTAATTGCGGGTGCTAAGTGGTTGGAGCAACTGTGCCCACTTAAGTGCCGGCTGCAGTGAGCGTGTCTGCGATTCCAAGCTGATGGGTCTCATCTGACTGTCTTCTGCCTGGGTCACCCCATGTTCTGACACGATAATTTGACCATGGTTTCTTTCTTTTGGCATTTGGATTGCACGCAATGCTGTCTACTTAACTTCTGATTATATGTTGAGAATTTGACTGTGATGTCCCTACGATAGGAGTTTTACACCAGATCTGGGGGACGCTGGCTGGTGCAGAGCCTGGGAAAGGCGGTGTGCAGTTTCTGCTGTTAGGGGAGGGCAGAGGTCAGCAGACCCACTAACCTTGCATGTCTCATCAGCTGTGCTGTAACCGAGTTCCCGGATGAGGGAGGGCTCCTCACCAGCTGCCACTGCCATTGCTTTGGGATTGATTAAAGCACACAAAGCCCTTTGGGAGTGATTAAGGCACACAAAGGCCTTTCAGTGGCCTCTCCACCCCTGGCAACAGACAGGCATCACTCATGTGTTAAGCAAGTGCCTCTGAACACCTTGTGCAGCCTCTCCAGTGGGCACTGACGGGTCCCTGCCGAGGTGTGAACAGTGGCTCGGGCACAGAGGAAGGAAGTGACTTGCAGGACTTGCCTCCTGGAGAGACATAACTTTAGAACTGGTTCTGCAGTTGTGGTTACAGGTGAATGCATATAGACAAGGGTGGGCTTTGTATGGGACTTGTGGGGGCAGGTACAGAGGGTGAGAAAGTACCAGGTTTTAGAAGAAGATGTCAGGCTTGCAGTGAAGGGCGATTTTAACCCAGACAGAAGTTGACTTGTGGGCGGCTCGGGCTGCAGGGCTGTGGAGTGTGAACTGGACATTCCGGCAGTGGGGCCTTTGTGCGGGAGCAGTTAAGCAGAGGAGTGACAGGGTGGGACGTGCAGTCGCGAAAAACTCGTCTGATCTGTGTCTGGAGAGTGAATTGCCAGGAGACAAAAAGAGAAAAGATTCGTGCTCAGTGCCTCAGACTCTGAGAGCTCAGGGATATAGAGGGTGAAGAGGGATCCTGTTCCTCTGTGAGGGGGGCCCAGGTGTGGTGTCTGGGGCTTTCTTGGTGCAGAGTCAAAACTTCACCTACCAGGGCTGTGAGTAATCAGCACTTTCTCAAATGTCACTGCAGCCCACAGGTAGGATAAAAATACATGGGGAAGATAACACATACAAGCATAGTTCTTGTTCTTCTGAGCCCATTTCAGCTCCATCTTCGATGCCCTCTTTGGTAGTGAGACTGCTTGAGAGTGATAGAAATGAAACAGGTAGGATCTCTAAGGTGTAGCTTGTGCTTTACAGTTTATGAAAGGGCTTCCTTTCACAGCCCTTTGAGGCGCTCAGAGAACGTCAGTTCCACTCTGCAGATCAATCAGAGTCTGAATTGAAGTATCTTGACCTGGTCACAGGCAGGTGACGCGTGCGCCAAGAGTCCCCCTGCGGACTCCCGATTGTTGACTCTGCCTGAGATCCTGTGCTGTGGCTGTGCCAGCTGTCAGCGGTTATGTTCAAAACTGTGAGTTTTTGGCGGAAAGGAAGATTAATACCTTTTCCGTTTTTCAGCCGACTGGAATAGTACATTCTCGAGACCACCCAGCCTGAAGGATTCTGATTACTTGACGCTTGCAAAGTTGTAATTTGCTCTTTGCTGTGTTTCAAAAAATATTTCCAGGGGAAAGTCATACAAGTAAATGAGACTAAAAATAAAGCTAAAAGAGTCAAAGGGAGATAAGGTTGACTAGTAAAATGGAAGCTGAGCAAGGAAGCGGAAATGCATGTTGTGATCCAGTCACAAGACTGAAGAGAGTGACTTAAAATGCAGCTGGTAGCTCCTGGCAGCGAAGTAGAAAGGGAAATGCAGTTCCAAGGTCTCCAACGCCTGGAAGATGAACATGTTAAGATAAAAGACCAACTTTTGCCGACGTTCAGGCCTGAGGGAAGTCCGGGCT